GGGGGGGGGGGGGGGGCTAGGGGGGCATGTTGTGCGAAGACCGAACTGCTTACTCACCCCTACCGCGGCTGCCGCCGCCGTAGGCTAGGATTGGAGCTGGCTAGGCTCGAGCCTCTCTCTAACCTCTACCGCGGCTGCCGCCGCTCTAGGCTAGGATTGGATCTGGCTACTATTGGGCTCTGACCTATCTCTCGCCTCTAGGGACCTGGCTGCGCTGCCGCTACCTGGCTGCCGCCGACTGGGATTTGCTGGGACTATCTCTTGTCTCTCGAAACACACTACCTGCTGCCGCGACCTGGCTGCCGCCGACTACGCCATTTGAACTTCACACGCGCAAGCGCAAGAGAGTGCTAGTGTGATCTGTGAACGCCCAGAGGGCATGCCCTGTCGGCGATAGTATTACTTCTTCATACAATATCCCCACGATGTGATACATCCAGAAAACAATCAAGGTTTTAAACGATCGATGCCAGATGAAGATCTCGTGGTACCAATGCATGCGGAGGTCGTTAGGGTAGCGGGTTCGAGACCCGGATAAAAGCAAGCACGCAAAGCAGTCAATCCTTAAAGACTTGTCACGATGACGGTCCTCCCGGCGCTCCGTATCCGTCTATGGCGTTCAACCGACCTCGAATCCGGAGGACTCCTATTGGGCGTTGGACCTCGCCAACGTGTCAAAGGCGCGGCTGATACACTAGCGCTCACACCCCTCCCCCCTGCTTCCCTGACCCCGTACCCCCCACACTGTGGGCGCAGACTGTAAGCTTGGGCAATATGCACGCACGCCGCGCGACGATCGCGTGGTTTCGCCTGCCTGGGTACCCATTAAGCGGGTGCCCCCACGGGCCCTAGTGGGCCCACCCTCCCTCCCGACGCCGAACCCGATCAGTCCATACTGAGATACGCCTCGGCCTTCTCGATCTCAGACAAGGAGAGCGCGTAGTCCCAGGTCATGATCTCGGCGACCGCCCAGTCCGAAAGCTCGTTGTACGCGCCGGTGTTGACGCACAGCTTCTGGCTGCCCGAGCCGCTCGTCGACGTCGCGACCGTCGCGCCGTTGGTGCGGAAGTAGCCGCTGCCACCGTTCTGGCCGCAGAAGACGAGCCACGAGTCGACGTCGGAAAGCGTCGACGACGAACCAATCTGCCAGCCGTTGTAGTAAGCGACGCCCGCGCTGCCGCGCCAGTGACCGTGGAGCCAGTTGGCGCCGGTCGCCTGGATGATGCGCTGGCGGCTGTTCCCGTTGTACTTGCTCCGGCTGCAGATGGTGAACTCGCTCGCGATGATGTTGGACTCCGAGAGGCAGATGGACGCGGACGTGTCGCCCGCGAGGTACGACAGCCCGTCGTCGCCCTCGACCGCGTCGATCGTCCCCGAGACGGAGTGGCTGTCGAAGCCATTGCCCGACACGTCGTACCACACCCCCGCGCTCGCGTCCCAGCTGTCGTACTTGTAGTGCGCGTACGGCTGCCGTACGGCTGCGCGTACGGCTGCGGCGTAGAGTAGTGACACTTGATCCCCTTGCAGCGCAGCGCCGTGCCAGAAGCGCATGTAAGCGATGGTTCCGTCAAAATGTCTTCCAGCTGGGTCCGTGCCAAAGTAATGGTGTTGCCGAGTTCTGTGTGCTGGCACATCACCATCAGATTTCGTGGATACAAGCACACCGTCTTTGTAAAGTTTCATCGTCGAGCCTTCACTCGTGGCAACCACGTGAACCCAGTTGTCGTCATTGAAGAAATTGTTCGATTGTAGATAGCTTCTCTGGTTGTTCTCATCCCAAACGTCAAAGGTTACAGCCCGGTTGGTTCGGTATAAGCGGACCGCAAAGGCGTCACCAATGTCCCCAAAGTAAACGGCAAATGTTGTTCCACTCTTGCGCAAGCTGAAATAAGACTCCATCGTCATGGCTCCTCCAAATTCCCACGGCGTCACCGCCACATAGTCGTTTGATCCATCCAGTACCATGCCCTCCGCTGAGCACATCGCGCCGTTCATGGCCGTGGCAACAATAGCCGAGTTGCGTGCATCAACGACAGGCGTGGAGTCGCTGCAGCCGCGGAAATCGAACTCGTGGAAATCGAACTCGTAGGTCGGATAGGCCGTTTTACGATCGTTTGGAGCGCTGACACCCGTCTGCTGGTCGAGCACCTTGTAAACCCCATCTCCATGCTCGCAGGAGAAGGTCCACGAGATGGGGTCTCGACTTGGCATGTCGTTGGCGGTATAGAGCTTGTACGACGCGACGGCGCTTGTGATGGACGGTGAGAGCGTGAGAGTGACGACGACATTGGTTGAGGAGGTGGAGCAGCAGTTCTTGGTGTTGACGCTGCCATCGATGAGCTTGAGCGAGCCCTCTTGTGCGTTCTTATCTCCACCCACGTTGCTGACGCAGTCCGTCACGGAGAGCTGTGACCCGCTGCTCTCGTACAGCCGGATCTCACTCAACTGCCACTGGCTTCGAGCTGTGCCCCCTCGCGACTGGGTGAACTCGAATCGGCACTTGGACGGAGCTGCATACTCAAACTCCGGCCCCAAAGGCTGTATTGCTGTGTTGTCATTGGAGAACGCAAGCGTCTTCGCGATCGCACGGCGGATGATGAAGTTACCAAACGGGTGCGCATCGCCGATCTGATCATCAGGCGAGCCGAAGTTGCTACTCCAGT